CTACTAAAGCACAGAGTAACAGCGTGAAATAGCGTATTATTGCTGTGTTTCGTATGGTGAATTACTAGAAATGGAGATCTTTTTTATTGATAACGAGGTATGCCATTTCAGTTCTGAAGAGTGACAAGGCATCTTCATTATGATTTTTAATTAAGGTGCCTATTGGCCATAGCAATAGTATCTATTTACTATCAGGTGAATTGTGTGCTCGTTTATCATTCTTATTCCATATCAAAATTCGTATTGTTGTTCTCATTTTATCCCTCATGTTATCATCTTATCTAACCGTTAATAGGTTGGTAAATTGGCCGCATGATATTGACCTCTCGCGTAATGGAAGGATTCACCATTATCACCATGCTTAGCAACAGATGTTTCACTTTCGTCGACGTCGGCCTCCGGCCATTTATCTAAGTCGCCTATTACGATATCCGTGCGTTGAGATGGCGAGATGGGGTTTGTTAGTTTTTTTTTTTGCGTTGAAGTCTCCCATTAACATCGTATAGTGGGTTTTGGAGGAATGCATGGCTCTAGAGATATCCTCATACATTTCCTCCACCTCCTCATCAGGGTGTGCCCAGGTTGGTCCGTAAACCTTTATGACCTTCAGCGAATACCGTTTGGTGATTCTGATTATAAGGTACGCAACCCTCGTCGCCACTCCCGGTGATAGAACAAGTTGCCAGATTCGAGGATTACCATGTCTTTCCCCTCTCTTCGAACCTCGGATAATCCTATGATATTCCAGCGCGACCTGTCTATCTCTTCTTCCAGCTCCAGGATATTCTCGTCAGTCCTGAGGGTTCGTGCGTTATAAGTTTCCAGTTCGAGTTTCTTAGCGTAACGGCGGGGCAGGGAGTGCTAAGAATCTGGTTCTTAGCACTCCCTGCCCCGCCGTTACCATGGTCGCCACCGTAGCCAGGAATACTCCTAAGTCTCTTCGTTACTATTATGGGGGGTATATTGCCATAGTTGTTATTAGTTGTGCAGCGTATGCTGTAAAAAAGATTAGAAGTCTAACCAGTGTTCAAACAGCTAGACTAGTTTACTTTAGCTATTTCCATAGCATAATGTCGTATGGTATTTTGCTATGGGGACACGCAGCTGACACTGAAATTATATTTGTTTTACAGAAGATTTAAAGCCTAAAGAGTCGCTGCGACAAAAATTTAAGGAAATTAATATATTAACTTTGGCCTCTCAATACATTTATGAAAATGTTATGTACGTACACAAAAATAAAAGTAGTTTTACAAAAATAAGTGATATTCATTCTGTAAATACTAGGAACAGACACAAGCTAGCATCAGTTACTCGACTCCATCGAGTCAGTAATTCATTCTTGGGGCGATGTATACGCTTTTACAACAAAATTCCAGAAAATATACAAAATTTGACCGCTTAAAGTTCAAAAACTTTATTAAACTAAGTTTGTTTAAAAAGGGTTATTATAATATTAAGGAATTTATGGATGATAATAATCCCTGGAAATGAGGTGATCGCTACCAAGCTATTTCTAATTTGTTGTGTTGTTAATTTGTGTAACATCATGATTGTAAGCTGTTATTTAAAAAAAAGTCCCGCTGGGTTTCTTGCTGGTTCTTCCCAGGACAGAGGTTTTTTCCGAACCAGTGGTAATCCAACAAAAGTGTGACTTTCAATAAGTATTATTTATAATCTATATTGAATAAAAAAGTTTCTGTTTCTGTTTCTGTTGCCACGCTTGGCGAGCGGATTGGCAACCGCAGTTTTTTTATTGTTGTTGTGCTGTTATCAGAAAGATGCTGCTGCCCATCTTCTGCCTCAGTTTCCTTCTGTCACCTCTTACGACACCCACGGGAAGATGTAAGGGGTAGTGGTATTCTTTTCCGCCACTACATGGTTTTATTTACAGTTACAGCAACAATATAATAATAATGATAAATAAAAGCTGTGTTATGGCGAAATATAATATAAAAATAATTGTTATAAAATTGTATAAAACTAAATCTAACTAAAAACTTACACACGATATTAAAAAAAAAAACTATAATTAAGAAAAACTAATACTAAAAGTTTAAATTGTCATACAATGCTACTCCCCGTTGTATCATGCCAAGAACTCTGGCTTCGTTTCCTCGCTGAATGGCCTTTGAACGAGAGAAGAACCAGTGCTATTATCAAGCAGCGACGACCAGTCGCGGATACAGTTCCTTTATCAACTTCACTGCACAAGGACACCACGGAGCGATTGTCTTTACAGTAGTTGACTTGAAAGTAATGGATGGTGATTTAAAATTGAATCCCGTATTATATTCTCAGACGACATCCTGGATCCTCGTAAACTCCTGAAGGAATTTACCGCTGCCTCCCAATACTTCTATGCAACCTTTAATAATTTAAGTTTTTTTAAAATTAAAAAGTATTTTTTTTTAATAGGATAAGGGTGACATACGAGCACACAGTCCACCTGATGGTAAGTGGTTGCTGCAGCCCATAGACATCTACATCTATCCTCTATTACAAATCAAAATGCAGATGCGTTGTCACCCGTGAGGACTAAGATGGAATGCCTCATTTCCAGTAAAAAGGGCCTCGGGCCACCTGCACTCACCAAGCGAAACGCAGAGGTAAACCTCTACTTCACGCTGGTTTTCTGTGAGGTCGTGGTACCACCCCGGTTCGAGCTGGCTCATCCGTGCGACAGCAAAAGCTGCCGCGTGGCTCTACCACTGTTAAAAATATTATATATTATAAATTATTAAAAATAACTCAAAAACTATCGGTTGATCAAATTTATATGGCACCACATGGAAAGCATCAGCTTTTAAATAAAAGAAAAAACCATTAAAATTGCTTCACCTAAAAAAAGTTCTGAGGTAACACAAAAAAAAACATATATCTACCTCCTCCTTTTCGAAATCGGTAGATAATTTCTGAAAAAGACACTTTAGGAGCAATCTTGTCATCTTGTTTCATAAAAACCATATTATGGATTATGCTGTCGGTGTTCAGCAGGGTGACCTACTAGGTCCAGCTCTTTTCAGTTTCAGAATTCAACACATTATTTGAAATTTGAAATCCAAGCTAAATATCTGGTACCTGGACGACGGTACCTGATATTCAGCTGAGAGATGGGAGGTGAAGCAGATGACATGCTCCGTTGTTTTTCGATAGTATTTAAACCTGTTTTAAAAACAACTTCTGATCAGTTTTTAAACCACGTTGATAAATTTTATATTTTAAACCCCCATATTTCTCTTAGTATTTTAAAATGTTGTCTTCTTGAACCTAAATTTACATACTTCCTACGCTCGAGTCAGACTGGAAATGTTTGGATAATATCTTTAATAATCAAATATTAATAATCTTAAAATAGCTTTTGAAAAATTTTCAATTTAACTTACAACATATAATAAAACAACCTGAAATGATGCTACTTTACGTATAAAATTTGGTGATATTGGTGTAAGAAATTTTTCTAGCATGCTGTCATTGCTTCCATGCATATTGTCAAGGACTTATGTGATATAATTTTAAATAATAAAGTAGACTTATTCTACGCTGCGGAGGCAAGGCAAACATGGATAACGCGCTGTCCCGACAAGTATCACTGGAAGTTAACCCACAAAAACAGTGGGATATCTATTCCGTTAGTGCGGAGTGAGCAGAAAGATTTTTTTAACAATTTTCACAGTAACTTCCAAGATCAGGCTTGTCTTCTACCTGTTTCGACTAAGGAATTTAGTCACTGTCACTGGTTACCTGATTTACCGTCAAGTAATCTCGGCATATAGCTTAATGAGGAAAGCTTGCAAATCGCCGTAGCAATCCGTCTAATAGTGGCAATTTGTCAATCTCACCAGTGCCCCTGTAGTAGCAGCGTCGACGAGTTTGAGCTCTACGGACTTTCAAGTAAAACAATGCAGGTAGGTTTTCCGGTCACGGCTCTTTGAACGAACTCATCCGAAGGGTTGTCTCTATAAATGTTCCCTCGGTTTTAGAGCCTTGTGGGATAATATGAGACAATGGCAAGAGACCCGACGATATGAATTTGGCACCTTGGGAGAAAGGTAAAGCCCTAGTGTGGAATGCTGCCTGCGTAGACACTTTGGCGTCCTTTCATATCAAGGATACCTCGTTTAGAGCTGGGGCGGCATCAAAGGCAGCTGAATTGAGTAAGTGGCGCAAATATGAGTCTTTGAGAGATGACTACATATTTGTGCCATTTGCTTTAGGGACTGTCGGTCCGTGAGGTCCACGTGCAGTGAAGTTCTTAAAGGAACTGTATCGGCGACTGCTCGTTGCTGCTGGTGATAAGAGGGCTGGTTCTTTTCTCGCTCAAAGGTTAAGTAAAGCCATTTAGAGAGGAAATACAGCTAGCGTTCTTGGCATAATACCACGGGGAGTAGAAATGTATGACAATAATTGTTTTTAGTTTTTTTTGTTACTTTAATATAAAAATAATAATTGTGGGTAAAATTTTGGTCCTTACATATGAAATTAGCGTTTTGTCGTACTGACCAGTTTTATCTGAATGATCTCCTCTTTGGTTAAGAATTCAAAATTCAAATTTATATATTCATTTAGCTGGTACATTTGAGTTTTGAAAACAGTCATTAATTTGTTTTTTCTTCATTGTTTTTCTTTTCCGTCGCTTATTACCGCACAGTGGAAAACACGAAATATCGGTATATTTACGAGTACGAGTTCTACCGTAGCATCAGTGCTGCAGAATCAACTCGAAGGGTTAATGATGTGTACGGCGCTGGTGTCGCAAAAGAAAGCCTGGTACGTTTTTGGTTTCAACGTTTTTGAATAGGAAATTGATCTCTTTTTAATAGTAAAAATGCTGTAATTTGCTCAATCGACCTTTACTTGATCTCTAAATTTTACAACGACGACAGGTACAACATTTTTTAAACATACCTACACAGCTTACGGACTAATATTGGCATGAGAACTGCTAATATAATTTGACAGGCGCTTCAACATGCCCCCCGGCGTTGAAAGTCTACCTTTCAACCAGATTCTTCAGGTTCAGGAAGCGGACAAATTTTGCTAAATGATCGGCGAACTATACCAGTCGATGTTTTGATATCCGCCACCCTTGATACGCCGTCCGAGCCTGGATGGACTGCGACGATGCGACCCATCTTCCACTTTAATGGCGGTGAATTCTCCTCTTTTAGGAGTACCAGTGAATTTAACTTCAAAGAGCCTTTACAGGAACGCCATTTCATCCGCAGTTGAAGCTCTGATATATATTCCTTGCTCCATCTAGCCCAAAAATGTTGACGTAATTGTTCTATTCGTTGAAATCGGGTTAAAGAGCTTACGGAATGATCTTTATAGTCTGGTGTCGGCAAGGAAGTCAAGGGGCGTCCAACCAAAAAATGACCGGGCGTTAGTGGTAGCAAGTCTTCAGGATTCGTTGACAAAGGTGTGAGTGGTCTGGAGTTAAGTATAGCCTCAATTTGTATTAATGTGGTATTTAGTTCCTCGTAAGTCACATTACAATTGCCCAGCACTCTAACTAAATGATATTTAATGCATTTGACACCAGCCTCCGCAAGCCCAGCAAAATGGGGAGAATAAGGCGGTATGAAATGGAAATTAATTCCTTCATTTGCCATTACCTCAGATAAAGAATTACAATACGTCCTAATAAATTTTGAAATGTCATTGTATGCGCCTACAAAGGAGGTACCATTATCCGAATAAATATTAAGAGGTTTCCCTCTTCTAGACATAAATCTGCGCAAAGCTAATATGAAGGTATTGCTAGTTAAATCACCCACTAATTCAAGATGAATTGACTTAGTCGCGAAGCAAATAAAAATAGCTATATACACCTTTACAATTTTACAACCACGGCCATGGCGAGAAACAGATTGAATTGGTCCCGCATAGTCTAGTCCAATATTTTGAAATGGAAAACCAGAAAGGATGCGTTGGTGTGGTAGGTTGCCCATTATTGGAGAGATGGTTTTTCCTTTCATTCTATTACATCTTACACATTGTCGATAACAAGATCTGGCCAAATTACGACCTCTAATCGGCCAGTACATCTCTCTTATAGTGGCCAACATTAGCTGTGGTCCCGCGTGCATTAACCTTATGTGCTCATAATTGAAGAGCAATTTGGTAAAATAATGAGTGGACTGTATAAGTATGGGATGTTTTTTCTCATAACAGTAATCGGAATTTTCAAGACGCCCTCCAACACGCATTATTTTATTATCATCGAGAAATACATTAAATTTATGCAACGGACTTTTAGTGGGTAAACTTTTATTTTTAATTAACATGGTGTATTCCTCAAATGATTCACTCTGGGATATTCTTATAATAACATTGAGTGCGGTTTGCAACTCTTGATTGCTTAGAGGACCGTGAACGGATTGCTTTCTACAATTATTAATAAAACGCAGCACATAAGCAACGGTCCGATTTAATCTAGTATATTTAGAAAAGCGTTTAAATTCAATTAATTTATTCCCACCTAAATCTTCATTGTTGCTAGAATGAAGTATTCCGTGGAGGATAACATTTGACGATTTAATCTCAGGCAACTCGTGATTAATACTTAAGAAATTTGCAGGCCAGTGAGAGACCTCTTTCTTTAAAAATTCAGGTCCTGACCACCACTTACTCATGGATGAAATATCCTTACAACTCACACCGCGAGAAATATGATCGGCCGGATTACACTCTGTTGGGACATGCCTCCACTCGCAATTTCCAGTCTTCTCTAATATTTCAGCAACCCTATTTCTGACAAAGGGTTGTAGCTTGCTAGGTAACACCTTTAACCATCCTAACACGATGGACGAATCTGTCCAAAAGAAAGTGCGCTTAGCCTGTTGTCTCAGCGATGCTACAACCTTTTGGTAAAGGCGAGCTCCAACAAGTGCACCACAAAGTTCCAGTCTTGGGATTGTTATAGGTTTAAGCGGCGCGACACGACTTTTCGCCATCAATAATTGAATTAAAACCTCACCCTGATCATTAACACTACGCACATATAAACAGGCGCCATATGCTCGCTCAGAAGCGTCCGAGAAAATATGAAATTCAAACCAACTAGGCGAGTCACAAATAACACGACGTGGAATACGTAGAGTATTTAATTTAGGTAAATCGACTATTATCTCAGCCCACATCTTGCTGATTTCTGGCGTCAACTGCTCATCCCATGACAGCTTGAGCAGCCACAACTGTTGAAGAAGCATTTTCATCTTAATTACACAGGGAGATAGAAGTCCTAGTGGATCAAAAATCTGAGAAATCACAGATAACATATCACGCTTTGTTCTACCTGAGAATAGCCCTCCTATAGGGAAACAAAGTTGGTCAGTAGGTGATTGCCAACCAAGGCCTAAAGTTTTAGTCGGTTCAAAGCCACCAATATTCAAATCAAGCGGAGAAATATCATTTTCACTAACCAGTTGAGATTCATTCGACTTCCACTTTCGCAAAACCATATGAGCTGATGCAAGTGTGGAAGTCACTTTACGGCGCAAATCTGTAACCTCGTTAATATCATCCCCTCCCGTTAGCAAGTCATCAACGTAAAAATCGTGAATGATCACTTGAGCAACCTTGTCATCGGTACACTCTAAGCCTAATTGTTGGAGGCACCTAGTTGCCAAAAAGGGAGCACTAGAGGTGCCGTAAGTCACGGTGTTAAGTTGATAAGCTTGAAGCTGTTCTAAAGGGTTATCACGCCAGACAATTTGTTGCAAATAGCGGTCATCGGGATGAATGACTATTTGCCGGTACATTTTCTCAACATCAGCTGTGAGAACGTATTTGTGTAGCCGAAAGCGTAAAAGAATGGACAAAAGGTCGTCCTGTACCACGGGACCTACCATCTGTATATTATTCAAGGAAACACCCGAAGAAGTCGGACTGCTAGCATTGAAAACGACTCTTAATTTAGTAGTAGTACTACTTTCCCGAAGCACACCGTGATGTGGTATAAAATGCATCTTACGTGGTAAATTATCATTCTCACATTTCTCCATATGACCCAGACTTTCATACTCTGACATAATTCTTTATACATTTCATAGACCTGAGATTGACCTGCTAACCTGCGCTCTAGCGATAGTAAACACTTTTTAGCTCGTGGCCAAGAATCACCTAATACGTCAGGATTATGTTTTAAGGGTATCCTCACGCAAAATCGACCATTTGCCAGTCGCGTGGTGTTTTTTAAAAAGTGTTCTTCGCATAATTTTTCTTCGTTTGAATAAAGAGACGCAGGGCTTACCTCTTCGAGTTGCCAGAAGCGTACTAATTGTTTTTGTATATCTTCATCTAAATCTTTACTAGCCTCATCTTGAAATATTCTTGTAAAATTACATTTAATAAAGTTAACCCCTTTCTTTACATATCTATAATCTATCGGACCTGATACTAACCATCCTAAGCTAGTTTCACAAAGAATCGGCTGACCGTCCCCTAATTTTAATCTCTGCGTTCCTATTAAGTCCCAAAAGACATCAGCACCTATAAGCATGTCAACGGGAGCAGGTGAGTGAAAATTAGGATCTGCCAGAGAAATATTAGATGGAATTTTTAAGTTTGACAAATTAACATATCTAGTAGGTACATTTTGGGTTATTGATGGTAGGACAAAACAATGAAGATTACTAGAGAAGTTATCATTCAATGATTTTATCGATACCTTACAAATCTTCTTGATGTGTGCCGAAGCATTATTAATACCGACTACCGACTGATTTACATTTTGAGCGGGCAAACCTAGCCTTTGATATAACTCTTCAGTTATTAAACAAGCGTTACTGCCACTATCAAGAATAGCACGAGCAATATATGGACAACCATTCTTACCTATAACTTTAATTAATGCCGTCGATAACAATACGTCGCCTTGTTCACTACACGATGCAGTGCCTACCTTTGCGGATAATGACAGATGTGCGTTAGAATTGGATGACAACTGTGAGCCTGTCGAACTGTTTGTTTGTTCGAAATGACCTTGCATAACGGGCTTATTATTACCACTACTCGTGTTAGATGTATTAATATCTGTAATTGGTTTTGACTGGTAATCTGCGACGTGCACGAGAGTGTTATGCTTTCGGTGGCATATTTTGCATCCTGGCTTTTTGCAGTGATTTGCATAATGTCCTGAATTAAGACAATTGAAACATACTTTATACTCTGGCAGTAACTGTAGACGCACATCGTTACTTAATCCAAGAAACTGAGGACAACTGCTTAACTTATGGTCACCCTTACATTTAGGACACAGTTTGGCGGAAAAGGCCGAACCGTTTTTATTACCGGTATCCCGCACTGAAACCATTGCCTTAACTTTTGGAGCATATTTTATAGAAGAATTTAAACGGTTAGTAGCACCAGAATTAGACATTTCTAGTGTTTCGATTAAATCGGCTCGATTTTTTAGAAACATCAAAAATATATCGAACGTAATAGGTGTATCTTTCTCCAAACGACCTTTAGACTCTTCCCATTCACGATATGTCTTAGCATCTAATTTTTGAGTAATAAAATGAATGAGAAGTGTGTCCCATTGTTTAGTTGGCTCACCGAGAGATTCTAGTGCACGTAAATTTTTATTTATTTGGTCAATAAGACGTTTTAAGTTGACAGACAATTCTTTATTAATTGGTGCTATATTAAATAAGGCTGTCACGTGATTTTGAATTAGTAGTCTTTTATTATCATATCTATCACATAATATAGTCCATGCGACGGTGTAATTAGCTGCCGAGAATTCGATTGACTGTATTACCACAGCAGCGGGCCCTTCCAACGACGCTCTCAGATAGTGAAACTTATTTATGTCATCTATCTCGTCATTTGAATGTATGAGGCTCATGAACGTGTCATGAAACTCTAACCAATTATCATAAGAACCATTAAATTTAGGTAGTTGAATAGTGGGCAGTTTAACAAATTTATGATTGCCGGAATGAGAGCCACCGTCACTGCTTACGTCATCTGACTTAATGCAATCTGCTAAGATCCTTTTTGCAAGAGAAAGCGATTTAAAATACAGGGATTCAAAATCAGTTCGTTCTGATATCTGGGCGTCTATATTATCAGTATTACACTCGATGGATAATTGTACCTCATCATATCGTTCATACATTGACTCAATCCTACTAATACGTAATTGCAACTCATTTACCTCAGTAGCAGCCAATGAAGATACCTTCAGTGAATTTAAATAATTTGAAAAAGCTGTTATTTGTCCCTTGTAACTAGCTCGTTTCCTAATTTGCTCCTTATCTTCTGGCATGCTGGCTGGTATTGGGAGACTAGTGCAAATGCCTGAAATTTATACAAACAAGAAGTTTATATTTTATAAAATATAATTCATAAGTAGTTTTATACAATTTTGCTTACAGTTGTAAAGAAATGAAAACTAATTCCCTTACTTATTTTTCAAACTCTTAAATAATTAAACAAAATGGTACATGTACTACCTTGATATTTAACTTTATAATTAACAACAATTAAGGGTAACAAATACAATTCAGACCATCAAACAGCTTCACAGGTATGCCTTAGTATGTAATAAATAATATTATGCAATTTTTTCAATTATACACTCTCTTGACTTATTTTTTTTTTAAAAAAACAGTTTAAACCAATAAAGAGAAAAAAAAAATTATAATATCGTCAATATAATTTAACTAAGCTTTATAATTTGATTTAATCATGATTTGACGGTTATTAGAAACTATATAAAACAATATTAAATGAATTTTAGCCGATTAAATACTTTAAGTTATACGTAATTATTTTATAGGTAATTTGGTACTAACCTGATAAATTAGCAGTCGATTTACACAAAATACTACCTGATAATGAGTGCTGGGTTAAATAAATTAAATAATAGTCCAATATCTAAGGGGCTAAGACTCCAGATTTCTTGGTTAAATATCTTCACTCCCTCGGTGGTATTTCCACAACGAATATTTAAGACTTCCCAAGCGTATTCCACTAAATAATATCTTGTCCAATTACGTTTTTTCAAATCCGGCTTCGATTTAGGACCATGAATAGGAAATTGATCTCTTTTTAATAGTAAAAATGCTGTAATTTGCTCAATCGACCTTTACTTGATCTCTAAATTTTACAACGACGACAGGTACAACATTTTTTAAACATACCTACACAGCTTACGGACTAATATTGGCATGAGAACTGCTAATATAATTTGACAGGCGCTTCAACAGTTTTCGTTCTGGAAATTTCGACCTTCAGAACCAACCCCGTGGAAGGCCGGAGACCAAAGTGGAAAATGAAGAATTAAAGGAAGCGGATCCATCACAAAGCACTTCAGAGATAGCTGCAGGCTTCGGGGTAAGTAATAAAACTGTATTAATCCACTTGAAGCAAATCGGGAAATTATAAAAACTTGAACGACGGGTACGTCATGAATTAAGTGAATCGAACTTGCCAACACGCGTCGACTGCTATGTTACTTTGCTCAACCGACACAATAATGAAGGGATTTTAAATCGAATCATTACTTGTGATAAAAAATGGATACTGTACGATAATCGGAAGCGCTCGTCGCAATGTCTTAATCCTGGAGACACGGCCAAATCCTGCCCCAAACGAAAATTGACTCATAAAAAGTTATTTGTGAGAGTTTGGTGGACTAGATAGTTCACTACAACTTTCTAAAATCTGGCCAAACGATTACGGCAGATATCTACTGATATCAACTGCAAACAATGAAGGAAGAACTAGCTGCTAAGCAACCAAGATTGGTCAATCGCTCTAGGCCACTGCTGCTTCACGACAACGCAAGACCACACACTGCTCAACAAACAACCACTGAGTTAGATGAGTTTCAATTGGAATGTTTGCTACATCCACCGTACTCCTCGGACCTTGCTCCAACAGATTACAATTTTTTTCGGAATTTGGACAACTTCTTACAAGGAAAAAAAATTCAACTCCGATGCGGCAGTCCAAACCGCCTTCAAGAGTTTATTGAATTGCGCCCCCATGGTTTTTTTTAGTCAAAGGGTCTATGAACTACCTATGAGATGGCAAAAGTGCATAGATAACAACGGTGCATACTTTGGTTAATTAAATATATTTTACAAAAAAAATTGACTTTATATTTTTAAATAATCCAAAGGCAGAGTCTTTCATATTCATCATAGTAATGTATATGAAATATAAAGTAAGTTTCTGACCTTTTCAATTTTTTGATATCTTCAAACTTTGTAGTTAGTCTGCTAGGGGAATACGTGCAAATATTTCATTGATTGGATTATCATAACTATTTCTATAAAAATTTCTCGAGTCGCTTACATACTTTACAGCTTGAAAGTCTTCATTATTAAAACGCGAGCAATAATAACACCAGTATATAAGTCTGATGACATGTAAGATACATCAAACTATAGACCTATCTCTGTTTTACCGGCCATCTCAAAAGTCATAGAAAAACTTTTAAATAATCGGTTAATATCCTACTTAAATACATACGAGCTGCTTTCTGACCACCAATTCGGATTTATAAAAGGGACTTCCATCGAAGATGCTGTTACTGCACTGACTTCTCTTATCGTAGATAATGTGGACAAAGGTAACAAATGCCTAATTGTATTTTTAGACTTGAAAAAAGCCTTCGATACGGTGTCAGTACCTATCTTAGTACGAAGGCACGAAGACATTGGTATAAGGGGAATCCCTTTAAAACTTTTTGTTGACTATCTTCTCACTGGGCGTGAACAATGCGTTAGAATTGGACCCTATGTGA